CTTTGACGTAACCAGGGAGAAAAATCAAAAAAAAACCTGCCATTTCGCAATGGCTCCTCTAAGAAGAAAAAGGTATTAACGTATGTTACTCCCTAAACCCTAAACCTTAAACCCCAAACCCTGAAGCCTAAACCCTAAGTCGCTCCCTATACCCTATACTAGACCCAAGAGTTACCTAGGAATAAAAAGGGTGCCCTTTTTGGTTTAAAGGGGTTTATAAGGGAACCTGAACCCTAAAAAAGGGAATAAGGGCCTACTCTGGGTCCCAGTATAAACCTAAAACCTAAACCCAAAACCGCTCCAAGGCCCAGAACAAAGCCAAGGCACCACCCAGCTAAGGTCTTGAAGTGATACTGCGACTTGCTCCTGGCATGGGCAGATGAGCAGCCCGGGTTGGAGGTTTAGGGGTTGGGGTTTAGGTGTTGGGGTTTAGGGTTTAGGGTTGGAGGTTTAGGTGTTGGGGTTTAGGGTTCCGGTTCAGGATAGGGGTTCAGAGGGTGGTTCAGGCGGGGTGTAAGGTTTAGGGTTTAGGATAGGGGTTCAGGGGGTGCTTTCGGGCGTTGGATTTACGGGGGTCGGGCTGTATCAGGTTGAGGAGTGTAGGATAAAGGTGTGGAGTTTAGCTTAACACACTGTCAAATCACTTCAATTGATTTTGTACCCAGCAGGGACGACAACTTTGACGATGCTCCGAGCTTCAAGTTAACCCGATAAGCAGTAGCTCGGAGCCCGGCAAGCATTGCGGGTACTAACCACATAGTATAGAAACCCCCCACCGCACGAAATAGCATCTTCAGACTCAGAGAAACTCTCTAACCCTCGGCATCAATTTAGCCCAACAGCCTTGTATAGTATGGTCTTTGAGCCCAGAAGCCTAATAAAAGAGTCCTTAGATCCCTAGGGTAAACTCCCATAAAACTACCACAGTTGAACCCTACGTGTCTCCCGAGGCAAAGACTTGCATAAAAGAAACAAAGAGCCTCAGAACTCATAACACCTGTCTGCTACTCGTGCTTCCCTGTACGCTCTGAGACGCTCCAAAAACTCTAAGTCAAGAAGCATCCCTTATGAATTTTATCCGGAACATCAATACATGCGTAACTTGATATTTCTTAGTGGGGGGGGGGGGCTTGGAGTCTCTGGGTACAGGAGCGGAATAGCCCCAAACATTAAACCTTAAATAGACTCCTGGTAGTCCTACCGCAATCCTGACAACAACCCTTAATCCTAAAGTAAGCCATAAAGTCATCCTCAAAGTAATCCTGAAACAGCTCAACAACTATATCAGCGCGCCTTTGGCCTTTCTGGTGCGGAGTCGCCAAGAGACTCGGCCCACCTGGGAAACCATTGCCTTAAGAGACTTGAGGACTTTAAGACCTAATGTACTTCAGGGCATCGGGTCTGACTGTTAGTTTGGGGTCTGGGTTTGGGGGTTTTTAAGGTTCAGGGTTTGGGGTTTGCTGTTTAGAGTCTATTCCAGACTCATAGGGCTGTTGCGGTCCCCGGATCCCGCATTCGACGAAAGACTCAACTATGAAAAACGAAACACACACACACACACACCCACACCCACACCCACACCCACAGAGACATACATATGGGAGTTTCCGAAAGGTAGGGGTACCTTATCTTGGGGTCTTTAGAATAAGGATCCTATTATCTCGGGTACTATATTCGGGTCCCCTATTTTCGGAAACTCCCCTTTGGTTAGTTCTCTGAGTTAGGGTCCCTGTTGCCATAAAAGCCCAAAGGCTGGACACCACGACTCCAGGCCGGCAGGCTGCAGACCAACGCCTGATGGACCTCCTCTAGCATACTTGGAGGGGCATCTTAAAGGGCTCCTTAAAGGAATCTATAGAGTTCCTTAGAGGGATCTATGGGGTTTAGGCTTTAGGGTCTACTTGGAGGAGCAGGGTACTTGGCAAGTCGCTTACAAGTAGGGTTATACTTGGGGCAACTCCTTCTAGGGTACTTATAACTCTACCTATAGCCTACTTACTGAGTAACCCGCCCTTCCAAGTAGCATCTATCACAGTGTATCACAAAATAATCCATCGTAGTCTGTTACTATAATGATTTATAGTCTGTTACAGTAAATTTCTGCATAGTATTGTGTTGTTGTTCTAGTATATTACGAAAAGTCCTTCTTTATAACCTATCATAGCCTTGTATGGTCTGCCTTGAGCCAGAGTATTTTGTCGTGTTTTATTGTTTGTAGAGTATATTAGAGTCTATATCGTATGTTTTAGTACTGCGGCGAATGTTGTCATCACCTGTTTCGAACCCATGCACAAACCCCTAGCAAAAGCTCTCTGAGGCAGTATGCCACCCGATACTAAATCAAGACATCTTGAACAACTCGCCCCCCCACCCCCGCCCCCCTGCCGGCTGCGAAGCCCCGTGAGGACCACACCACCGCGAGAAAGCCTCGTCGCTGGCGCCGGCCGAGCCTGCCTTTGCCATTGCATGAGCTATCGGCATGCTTTAAGGACGCATGGTG